TGATACCTCTTTCCCCACCATTGTTGAAGTCTACTTCCCAGCTCTCTCCTCTCTTGTCACTCTCCCATTCCAACCCTCATTCCTATCCCACCCACAGCTAGAGACGAGAGAATCTCTCTCATAAACGGAACTACTATTTGAGGTTTTTGTTTTTATTTTTTAAGATTTTATTTTTCCTTTTTCTCCTCAAAGCCCTCTGGTACATAGTTGTATATTTTAGTTGTGGGTCCTTCTAGTTGTGGCATGTGGGACGCCGCCTCAACGTGGCCTGATAAACAGTGCCACGTTGGCACCTGGGATCCAAACCAGCAAAACCGTGGGCTGCCTCTGGAGTGCGCGAACTCAACCACTTGGCCATGGGGCCGGCCCCTTGAGGTTTTTATTTTATGATAAATTCTCCTTCAAGACAATCATCAGTCAACAAAGATTGTTTGTGCACTTACCGTAAACACTATACATTAAGAAACCAAAGGGGTAAATGGAGTATTTTCCAGTGCAGGTGACACGATACTCATCTGTTGAATCACAAATTTTAGACTGAAGAGGACAGACAATTGGGCCTGAAAATAGCCTTATAAAATTGAAAAGAGGTAAGTGTATGATGAGTTACACTGAAGTTCAGAACGACCAGCTGCATAAACATAAAATGGGGAGACTTCAAGTTAGGTGATGTGAAAAAGCCTACCGGAGGCCACAAGTGGACACACACACACTTTTGGACTGCATTAGCAGTCATAGTAGTAGTAATAGCTAACATCCATGGAGTGGTTACTCTGAGCCACGTACTGTTCTAAGCATTGTATAAGTATTAGCTCATTTAATTCTCATGAACAACCTATCAGGTAAGTCTAAAATTTTTCCATTTTACCAATGAAAGTGAGGCCCAGAGCAGTTAAATAACTCACTCAATGTCAGGTAGCCAGTAACTGGTGGGGCCTGGATTTGAGCACAGGGTCGATACAGAGCAACCCTTGCTATCAGTTCAGGTGCCTGAAACAAAGAGCATGATAATCCTGCTCTCCTCTGAACTGGTCAGTCCATTTCTGGAGTCTTAGGGTGTGAAGACATCAACATCACCAACCAAGGTGTGTGCCACACCAGGATGTGACAGAGCTGGGAACCCACTCCAATGGTTGAAAACACGGGGGCCTCAGCCAGAATTCTGAAAGGAACGTGCTTTCCAGTATTTAAAGGCTATTATATGAAAGAAGAACAAAAATTCCATTTTGTAGCCACAGGGCAATTACAGATTTAGGCTGACAAACGTTTACGAAGTGCCTATATCCGGCCAAGAACTCTGGTTGGGGCTGGAGATTCAGAGATAAGTAAAAAAAAGATAGACTTCCTGTCCTGGAGGAGCTTCCAGTCCAGAGGGGAGGAAGGCAAACCTGGGCTCCCACAGCCCTTTCTGAATAGTTTAGCAGCTGGGCAGTGTACTGGGCTGCACCGTGGAGGAGCAGGTGTCCTTGCCTCAGAAGCACGAATGCAGGTCCTGCCCAGACACAGAGGATTTCCCCAGTGGGTGGGAGGCTGGGTTGGATCTCAAGCCACAAACTGGTGATGAGGACATAAGCTCCAGGAAGATGGAATTTTGTTGGTTGTGTGCACTGCTACATTCCCAGGAACTCAGACAGTGCCTGGCACAGAGTGGGTGCTTGATTGTCGAATATATGGAAGAATGAACATTTAAAGACCAGAATATTTCCATAAAAGCCTGCACTTGTCTTTTATTTTATTTTGAGGAAGATTAGCCCTGAGCTAACTACTGCCAATCCTCGTCTTTTTGCTGAGGAAGGCTGGCCCTAAGCTAACATCCATGCCCATCTTCCTCTACTTTATATGTGGAATGCCTACCACAGCATGGGTTTTGCCAAGCGGTGCCATGTCCACACCCGGGATCCAAACCGGCGAACCCCAGGCCACCGAGAAGCAGAACATGAGAATTTAACCGCTGTGCCACTGGGCCAGCCCTGCACTTTTCTTTTAAAACCAGGAGATTTGACAACAGTGGGCCCACATATTCATCTGTGTGGAAGTGAAGAATACACTTGTGTTTAATATCTCCCTAGTCCAGCCTCACTCAATTACATTATTTGTCTGATTCTGGACTTCGCAGTCTCTGGGTTAATCACTGAAATCTCAGCCAACTCTAAATGGCTGTGAAATCAAATTCTATAGTTTAAATTTGGGGGCAGAGTTCCAAGCTGGAAAAGTTTTCTGTCAATTAATAGACTGCATTATTTGAATATCAAAAAAGTTGTCTACATGGCATTTTCATTACTTAATCAAGTCATTCAAGATAAATTTTATTATTATCATAATATTAACAGAAAATATATAAATCATCTATTCCTACAGCAAGGGAAGGGACTATCTTTGCTTAAATGAGAATTTTAAAAATATACTAGCATTATATACAGTGCGTTATGTATATACATTGATGATATGTGAATAGATGATATATGGAGATGAGATATATAGAGATGAGATATATTTTGTTTTCCTGGCAATTCTGGTCTACTTTGATAAGAGAACCAGATGCAAAAGGATTATTTTACTATTTTTTAAATTGTGAAATGTACATTTCAGACGGAAAATACTTTCACCCCAGCAATAACTTTTGAACTCCGGGATCACACAAACTGAAGCAAAATTTAGAAATGAATGGTTACCTTAGCTAACAGTGGGTAGGACATTTGAGCAATATCTTAGAATTTAAAAATATCTTGATAGAATCCTTTCTAATCATCCATTCATATATAACCCAAGAAAGAAACACACTTCTAGGCATTACTTGGGTGTCACAGGATGCATGGGAGTAACATAAATCATTTCAATGTTGTTTTCTGTTTGGATAAGGATCATCCTTACTCTCATTAGTGTCATTCTCCTCTGTTAAGAACAGCTTACTATGCTCTCTAGATAAGGTACAAATGCATGACAAGCCTTGTTGGTTTCAGGTCTCAAGTTTGTCTTTTTTTGTTTTGTTTTTTGATGAGGAAGATTGGCTCTGAGCTAACATCTGTACCAATCTTCCTCTGTTTTGTATGTGGGACGCTGCCACAGCATGGCTTGATGAGCAGTGTGTAGGTCCATGCCTGGGATCTGAACCTGCAAACTCCAGGCTGCCAAAGCAGAGCACACAAACTTAACCACTATGCCACCAGGCTGGCCCCAAGTTTGTCTCTTTTTATACGTACATCCAGGGAAAGGGTAGCCAGATGTTACATTTAAATTCCATTAACCAAATGTGAAATAATGGAATATTTTCCATTTTCTTCATTCTAGAATATTAGTCCATATCATAATAGGGAAAGGTTGCCAATAAAATTGGTTAAACATTCGTCTTTTTACTATAGAGTCTCATCAGTTCTCTCCTTTATACAAATTTATCTACAATTTTATGCTGGGGTTTTTTTGCCAAGATTTTTTGTGGGTTTTTTCCTTCTTTTCTTTTTTCATCATGAAGGTACCGCTTTCATAAGCTTATGACCACCTTGGAGACGAGTGTTGGTACTTGCTAAAAGGCAAACGCTGCTCCTTTAACACATCTTCCTACAAGAAACAGACATTCTCCCCCAGGTTACATGCTTCTTAATATGTACAATAGATAATGCAGCAAAATATTCAAGATTTCTTGGATGACCTTCTAGTTTTTTCTTTATTGATTTCCTTTGACACTAAGATCATTGTGATAAACTGCTTCAATGAGTAACTATCTACTTAGGAGAAGCAGAGAGTCCAAACAATAAACCCAATCTGATTCAGAACTATGAAGATGTCAGCAGTAAAAACAATGTGCCTTTTCAACAATAATAGATTCATCTTTTCCCAGTACCCAGGGACCGATTTCAACATTGACTTGCTGTGCTTAGCAATGTGAAAATGTTCTCATCCTTGGAAAATCATTTTCTGGGATTCAGGAAAAAATGTGCCCAATTCTGAATTTTTGCCAAGAGCTGAGATAACAAAGAGCCAGCAATTGCTGGTTGTCAGAGCCAAGAGTTAAACCGCATCCAAGAAGCTAGGATGTTGGCTCTGTGTTCCGATTTACAGAAATAGAACTTTATCAACTAAAAAACCAGGATATATAATTTATAAAAAGAAACTTACTCAAAATCACTCCATTTTATACAATTAATGTCCATGTAAAAATAAAAACTTCCAAATATTTTTGACATTTGAAATAAAATATTTCATATCAAGTATTAACTTCTGATGAGGTTTCACTTTCTACCTCCATGGTATAGATTTCAAAATATATTAAGTAAAACGCAAATGTGTACACACACACACACACACACACCCAATATACAAATGGTGACGAATGCAAAGGTTCAGGAGAAGTTTTCACGTAGGGCTCAGACAACCTGCCATAAAACAAAAGGTCCCCACTGGAAGAGTTTTGGGGGTTTTTTTAATGCAAAAAGGCTGGTAAGATAGGAATCTAACTCTTGGGGTTGGATTGGCTGCTTCTCAGCTCCCTACAGCCCTAAAAGTTTATCAATCTATGAATTCATTCTTCCAGGGTTGCTCCCATAAATCAACTGTTCCTTGGGAGAAGGAGGGAGAGTTTGGGAAGCTGTGTTTGCTCTCTCAGGCCACTAGAGGTATATTAAAGAACCCAGTTCGTGAGTGCTGACCGTGAGCATGGACCCGTCAGCTCAGCCAGGGATCTAAGGACAATGGGATTTTTTCCAAAACTCTACCATACCAACGAGGCATCAAGTCACCGAGGTCACCAAAAGGACAGTTGATTCATATTGTGACTCTTCCGAACGAAAAATTTTTCATTAAGTTAAAAATCTTGGATCCTACCTTTTAGAAAGTACTTCCCATACCTACAAGACACAATCTTTCCTGCCCTGTGTTTCTATCTCCACACACATTGATTTTCTTTGGGGCATGACTTCCCAAGTTTCTCATCATGCATTTCTATCTTCTATCCGAGATCTTAAAACCCTGAATGAAAGCAGAGTGAAAGAACGGATGGGGGTGAATCAGAGAAGATCTAAATTCTTTTATTAGGCTGTAAGCAAGTTAGGGTGCAACATAATTTCTTTTTGCTGGGTGAGGGCTCCCGATGCGTCCTTAAATAGCAGAAAAACACATAATGCTTAATTCAATTGAGACTCTTGCAGAGAAAGCATTTCAACTGGGTGAGAGAATCACAATGTTTCGGTTCCACCATAAGTATATCATTTTAAAGTACACTTGAAATTTTAAATGTCTACAAATTCAGAGGTTTAAGAAACTTCAAAAGCCAGAGAAACAGTGTTTAGGAAGCCGAAGGCTGTGAACTTCCTTTCTCACTTAATCCATGCTTAATTTTGCATTCCTCACAGGTAAGCAGGCAGTGCCTAGAATAGAAACAAAAATAGTGGTTTACACGTTGACAGTACAAGTTCCGGTCAAAACACAGTATTATTTAGAGACTTTCTTATGCTAAGGTTCACAAGCCTATTTTTTTCAGGAATAATAGCTGTTTCTTGGTTTGAGAAACCCACAATTTCATCCAAAAAAAGGCCAATAATGATCTTCACGTCCAATGTTGTTTTCGCCGTACGGTATTGCCTCTCACGTAGAATCCTCTAGGACAAGTGAGGGTCTTTAGAGAAACGTGTCCCCAGCACTAGTCCTGTCATGCTGTAGTAGAAATTGAGTGCTTCCTGAGTGTCAGGAATAATCATTTCGATTCCTTATAACATCCCATGAAAACAATTCTGATCACCATTTTATACGGATGAGAAAACTGAGGATTAGAGAGTTTAAGAAACTTGTTCAAGGTCACACAGCTTAGTAAGTGGTAGAACTGGTTTTCAACCCACGGACTCCAACAACAGAGTTAACGCTGTTCACTCCAGAGTCCTACTGCCTATATCCCCTAAAGAGATCACGATATGTATTAACATAGTAAAGGCTCTGAGAAGTCCTGCAGTAAAGAAATCTGTTTAAATTTCGGGTAACCCTGTGACGGTAGGAGCCATGTCTGCTCATTAAGATATTCTTCAGAGTCTTGCACGATGCCTTGAACATAGTTGGTACTCACTACATATTTGTTGAGCAAATAAAATAGGGAACTACCTTAAATAATAATTATTGTTGAAGTTGAACAGCAACAATCCCCCAATTTTTTTTCTTCTTCTTCTTATCCCCAAAGCCCCCAGTACATAGTTGTATATTTTTAGTTGTGAGTGCCTCTGGTTGTGCTATGTGGGACGCCTCCTCAGCATGGCCTGATGAGCGGTGCCATGTCTGTGGCCGGGATCTGAACCAGTGAAACCCTGGGCTGCCAAAGTGGGGCACGCCAACTTAACCACTCAGCCACAGGGCCAGCCCCATCAACCACTCAAAATGTGAGGGCTAAAGAGTTTTTTCCCCAACATATGGATGTTAAATTGTTTAATATTATAAATGGTGAATGATCTTTTATAATTTTTCTTCCTTACAATCTCTCAAGCAAACAAATTACAAACCTGTTATGCCCTGGACCAAAACCAGCCCCACGGAGCTGATCTTCAAAAGAATAGAATTTACTCCGGCAGGCACCTATGTAGGACAACTTTCCAAGGCCGAATCCCAAGATACCAGCAACTGTAAAAGCAGGGGAGAAAAGATAGATAATGTAAAGCTTCAGAGTCTCCTCCAGTAATTATCTTCTAGAACTTTATTAACAGTATTAATTTTTATATTAAAAGTACTGTGATAAATCAGTGAACAAAAACTGAGAACGAAGCGCCCTATTCAAGAGGAGCACTGGGGACTGGAGACTTTCTCGTCTCCCCAGATTTGAACTGGCGGTCGAAGGGCCAGGATGGAGGAAGCGAAGGTGCTGTCCCAGAGACAGGCAAACAGACAAAGGCCCAGCTGGCCGACAAATGTCTGAGGCTACCAGGGGAGGAAGCGGGGAGCAGGGGTTTAGGTTGTGACTATGGGTGGCCTCCAAATCACTGGGTAGGAGAGCCCCTTAACTGTCTTTACGGATCGGAGTTTGGGGAGCCGCTGTCTGTCTTGCCTGTATGGGAGACAGGTCACGAGGCAGAGGGAACCTCCTCTGGAAGAAATCTCCCACCCGCTCCTCCCGCTGGGAATGAGGTTTCAGACCGTGAAGGGAATGCATCCCCTCTGAACATGAAAGGTCCGTGTATAACGAATGGAAGAAGATGGAAATCCAAGGTTGTGGGAAATGTGTTATTACAAAGCCCCTGATTTTAAAAAAACATTCTTCATGTCCATTATGGAAAATATTTTGAAAAAACTGGCCAAAGGAAGAAAACTTCAATCCCTAATGGATCTATCCCTCGAGGCTCTGCTGTTGATATCCTCCTGCCGGAGGTCCTGCCAGTCCCTCCTAGTCCGCGCTTTAACGAGGACGGTCGGAGGGGAAGTCCCTATTGCCCAGCTTTACATCAGAAAGAGTTGGATGAACTAAGCACTGCAAAGTGGCAGAAAATGCAGACTAATTCTCAGAGAGCCAATACAGGCAATTTAGTTAACCTGGATATTCATACCTTGTTATAAAGTTAAGAAGTTATAACAACTTTTTAAAAAAATGAATCTTTTTTTTTTACGTCTGTCACTTACGTGCAACTTTAGGCAATGATCCAAATCTTGGGTTAGCTGCTAAATAACCTAAGGAGTAATATATAAACACATTACTATTTCATTTTATAACATTTAAACTTATAAATTATAAAGAAAACCTTCAAAGTTTAAGATATACACAGATTCTTTTTTTTTGAGGAAGATTAGCCCTGAGCTAACACCTGCTGCCAATCCTCTTCTTTTTGCTGAGGAAGACTGGCCCTGAGCTAACATCCATGCCCATCTTCCTCTACTTTATATGTGGGACGCCTACCACAGCATGGCTTGATAAGCGGTGCCATGTCCCCACCCAGGATCCGAACCGGTGAACCCCGGGCTGCCTGAAGCGGAACGTGCACACTTAACCATTGCACCACCGGGTGGCCCCTATACACAGATTCTTAATCTAAAGAGATGATCTTAAAAGAATTATAATTCAATTCTTGATTGGATTTAACTCTCAAATAGCCATTTTTGGCAAGCAGTAGCTTTAAAAGAATGTGAAATAGACAATTCAAAACTGATATCCAGATGTCAAAGCAAAGATGGAGCTAAGAACTTAGTTCCAAGCAATTAGTCAGTGCCCCCTCTCCTTTTTAATTAAGTCAAAAAGAGTTTCAACTTAGAGATTCACAGTATATATATCACAATTTTTAAATGAAAACATTACAACCTGTGGTGGGTAGGCCTCCTAAATAATGGCCTCCTAAAGATGTCCACACCCCAAAGCTCAGAGACTATGAATATGTTATCTTACATACTAAAGGGGAATTAAACTAGAAAATGGAATTAAGATTGCCAATCAGATGACTTTAAAATAGGGAAATTATCCTGGATTACTATGACCTTTGAATGAGGAAGAAGGATTTGGAGACAGATGGCAGTGTGAGAAGAACTTCGCTCAACCCCGTTTGCTGGTTTTACACACAGAGGAAGGGGCCATGAGCCAAGGAATGTGGGTGGTCTCCAGAAGCTGGAAAGGGAAAGGAAAGTCCAAAGCCCCTGGAAAAGAACGCAGCTCTGCTGACACTTCGCTTTCAGCCCACTGAGACCCATTTTGGACTTCTGATCTCCAGAACGCTAAGAAAATAAATTTGTATTGTTTTAAACCAGTATGTTTGTGGTAATTTGTTACAGCAGCCATTAGAAAACTAATACACCACCCTAGAAAAGCATATTCGCACACATGCAAGAGACAGTAGATTATGAATATGCAGTTTTTAATATTTATAAAACATAATCCCTATTGGGGTCAGCCCCACGGCCCAGTGGTTAAGTTTATGTGCTACGCTTCAGCAGCCTGTTGTTTGCTGGTTCAGATCCTGGGTGCAGACCTACACACCACTCATCAAGCCATGCTGTGGAGGCATCCCACATGGGAGGACTAGAATGACCTACAACTAAGATATACAACTATGTACTGGGGTTTTGGAGAAAAGGGGAAAAAAAAAAAAAGATGAAGATCGGCAACAGATGTTAGCTCAGGGCCAATCTTCCTCAAAGAAAAAAAGAGAGAACATAATTCCTATAGATGTTGTGGCCACATTTTTTTGTTGTCCAAAATGGTCTGACAAAGGCTCATTACTGATTGATGAATATACTTCTATAAAAAGACTATCTTCAAGTTATAAAAATGAAATCATATTTAATAAATCACCTGTAACGACAAGAATAACATTGATTGAAATGGGGTTCTCTGGGACCCCTGTGGCCAAGTGGTTAAGTTCACATGCTCTGCTTCAGCAGCCCAGGGTTTCGCCAGTATGGATCCTGGGCGCAGATGTGGCACTGCTCATCAGACCATGCTGAGGTGGCATCCCACGTACCACTACTAGAAGGACCCACAACTAAACTATACAACTATGTACTGGGGGGATTTGGGGAGAAAAAAGCAGAAAAAAAAAAAAAGATTGGCAACAGTTGTTAGCTCAGGTGACAATCTAAAAAAAAAAAGAAATGGGGTTCTCCTAGATATATGACACATGTGGCCTTTAAGACCCAAAACAAAGCTAGAACATTGTCCCTTATGTTTAATGGGTACAAATGCTCTTTAAAATCCTGGTAATCAGGGGGCCGGCCCCGTGGCTGAGTGGTTAAGTTTGTGTACTCCGCTTCAGTGGCCCAGGGTTTTGCTGGTTCAGATCCTGGGCATGGACATGGCACAGCTCGTCAGGCACATTTGTCACCTTACAGTTCTAGAGGTCAGAAGCTCAAAATAGGTCTCACTGGGTGTCTTAGTCCGTTCAGGCTGCTATAACAAAAATACCACAGACTGGGTGACTTCTAAACAACAGAAATTGATTTCTCACAGTTCTGGAGGCTGAAGTGTCAGCACGGTCAGGTGAGGGCCCTCTCTGGGGTCTCAGGCTTCACATTGTATGTCCCATGGTGGAAAGAGCTAGGGGTCTCTTTTACAAGGGCACTAATCCCATTCATGAGGGCTCCACCCTCACGACCTAATCACCTCCCAAAGGCCCCACCTCCCAATACCAACACGTTGGGGGTTGGCATTCCAACTCGTGAATCTGGGGGGACCACAAACATTCGGCCCACAGCACTGGGCTAAAATCAGCGTGCTGGCAGAGCTGTGTGCCCTTCTGGAGACTCTAGAGCTTCTTGCCTTTCCAGCTTCAAGAGGACTCACATTTCTGGCTGCGTGGCCCCTTCCTCCGTCTTCAAAGCCAGCAATGCTGAGCTGAGTCCTTCTTACGCTGCCAACTCTCTGGTTCTGTCTTCTGATCCACTCTTTCATTTTTAAGGACCCTTTAATTACACTGGGCCCATCTGGATGATCCAGAATAATCTCTCTATTTTAAGGTCAGCCGATTAACAACGTTAATTCCATCTGCAACTTTAATTTCCCTTTGCCGTGTAACCTCATATAGTCATTCTTTCTGGGGATGAGGAGATCATCGGGAGGGGGTGACTTTAGGCTGAAAATAGGCAAAAACCTGTGTAAATAAACCCTCCACCAAAAAATAAATGCCAAGTGCCAAAAAGCTGCCAGGAGGGTCACAGAAAATTGGGCTCTCTTAAGTTAAATTAGTTAATGAATATTGAATCTTACCTTGGTGGACTAGTCCTTGGGTCACAAGCATGCTTACAAGAGAAAAAGGCAGAGCTGTAAAACAAAAATGCCCTTCAATATTGGTATTTTACAGCATGGCACTTCACCTAGAAGTCAGGGAGAATGACTAAGATTTTTCTCTTACTTACCTTGGCAATGATTTCTTAGTCATGTTATTTTACTTATTCAACACATATTTATTAAGCAGCGCGTGGGGAATTTTCTTGAGATCTGCCTCAGGCACTCAACCCGATGCACAGCATTAATCTGACAAACTAAACCCCATCCCACTCCAGCTCTGACACCCACTTTTCCTGAATGCCCACCATGTACCAGGTTCTGATCATTACATGCAACACACGCATCTCAGTGTCTGTGCACTTAGCTGTTGAATTTGGGAGTTGCCTCCAGCTACATATTTTGAAATTTCCAATCTTACATAAAAGTTAAAAAATAGCACAACAAACTCCTGCATACTCTATCTAGGATAGTTCCCTGCTTTTGTCTTTTATGACATTTTGTTGCACAATTTGGATACGTCTGTTTCCTGAAGATTATAACAGTACCACAACATTCATGTTAAAAATGGGCAATATCTAGCTATGATTTTTAAAACAGGCAAATTAGTCTGGCAAAGGCACTTTCTAGTTCTGTCAAAATGTGTCAAATGACTTCTATCAGAAGCAGAGAGCAGTGATAAACACGTAGCTCTTCCTAGCAACCAAGACAAATCAAACAGCAACCGATTTTTCCACTCTTATCCACCTAATGGTAGGCAAATGGGTCATATCGAAATGTTAACCTACTAGGGCTCCATTAAATTACTTAGTCAGAGCTTGTCAGAAAAGATGAATTTCTAGGAGCACGATCATGATGATAGTAATCCATAATGAATATCAACTTCTAAAGAGTGTTACTTCCAAATTGATACTGAATTTGAATGATTTCAGAAATCAACATGAGTATTTCAAAGTATAAATTATCTCTACATCAGCAATGTTGCAAAATATTGGGACTATACCCATAGGCTCTATTATGACATTTTCAAACGACACATCACGAATTTTTTAACTTGGAAGAGACCTTAACACACAGCCTGAATTCACACCCTTGTCTTACATAAGGCAGTCCCAGAAAGAGGAAGTGACTCGGCAGAAAAGGTTATTTCAGAGACATTGCAAGAGACATGCTAATGGAATGCTGCCAGTTTTCATTCACTCCACAAATATTTAACAGGTATTTTCTATGAGTGAAGCACTCACTGTGCTTGGCACTGGGATGAATCAATGACCTTGACATTATCTCTGAACTCAGTGAAGGTTAGAGTCTAGTGGCATTTAGAAAGGTCTACTCTTCGAAGAACTTGTAAATAACACTCTCGGTACAATTCTCAGTCACATGAAGGAAAGCGTTATGTGTGCCTCGCTTTTTGCTAAGTGAGGTACAGTGTTCCTACATCAGATTTTATCTCTGCCCTTAAAAGGGTCTCAACATGGATTCAAACTCTAAGTAGCCCCAGATATCAAAGTTCTTCAGAGAATTATGCAAAGTCCCACCCCAAAATAAATTATTACCACAATTCTAATACGATATTTAGGCAGTTTATTGCAGCAAAGAGAGTGTTAACAAAGATAAAGAGGAGTGAAATTACCTCTCTTCCAGAAACTTTCTTCTTGACATTCACGGATAATCTTAGAAATCTCCGCTCTCTGGATGTGCAGCTTTGATTTTGGACAAAACAACAGGCTCTGTAAGGAAAGCTCTATGGTGAGTTGACTGAAATCATGAGAAAAGCACCAGCTCTGTTTCTCTGGAGAAGGGCAGTGAGTGCCTGTGTGCTGTGCTGGCTGCCACCACACAGCAATGACCAGTTTCAGCCAGTGCTTTCCAGCTGGGAACGCTGGATGGACTCAGGCAAGGAGAGAAGCCCAGGTGGAGAAGAAGGGTAATTCATTGACCACAGAGCATGGAGCAGGTATCCAGTCAGAACGAATTACTGCTGAGGCCACACTTACTTTCTTCCCTCCAGCCTCTGTCGCTGCAGGGCACTATCTCTGCAAAGCTACTCCCTCTGTATCCCTGGTCTCCTGATGACCCAGTTCAATGTTGCCTCCTGGATGAAGAGAGATTTCCCCTACAGCATAATATTTACCCATCTGGGAGGGCTCTCAGAGCAGCGTGTTACAAGTTATTTACTCACAGATCTGTATTCTAATTTACCTATGTATACTTCCGTATGCATTTTTAGACTATGAACTCATCAACAGACTGCTTTTTCTTTTTCTACATACTTTACTTTCTATCTTAACAGTTTTTTTACACATTTGTAAGCGGGCTGCACATAATTTCTGGTAGAACTACTGACACAGTTGACATAATTATTTTGAATAGTCTATCGTATTTTTTAACCATGTTGATATGCTATAATCTGGATTAACTCCTATCTTTTATGATCCCTCCCCTGTTGTAGGTATGTATGGGGTATTTACTCACTCATCCACATTCTCCATTTTCATTGCCCTTTGCCCATCACCAGCATTCCGGGTGTTTAATGTAGATCTTTTGTAGCTAAGCATTTTTGCATGATGTTCATTGTTTTGGGTGCATGCATCTTTTAAAAATGTAAATGGCATTGTTTTCTCTACTTAATTTTATTTAAAAACGTATTTTCAACTCAGCTGTATGCTTTTGAGTGCCATCCCTGCTGCTCCATCCATCTAGGCCACTGCTTCTGACTGCTGCAGAAGCCTCCGGGGTGCCTCCAAGTCCCCACCGCCACATGTCCCCTCAACCCACGTGACAACATTTTTCAGACATATATCTAGAATTAAAATATAGGGCATGCGTCTTCCCAGCCTGACAAAGTCCTGATACACTGCCCTCCCCAGTGGCTGTACCCCACCCCCACCACAGCAGTGCGTGAACATTCCTCTGCCCTCAGACCCTGCGTAAGGCGAGTTAATGCTGGATTCCAAGCAGGTCAGAGTAAAGGAAGGCTTTTGTAAACTTGGCACTACCCAGTTTTCTAAATTTCCACAGTCTAATAGGTATAAAGTAATATTTTATTGCCTTATTTGTCTGATAACTGATGGGTTTGAACAATTCTACATATTCTTCAGCCAGACTGCCCTTCTCCCCTAGGGTTGAGGAAATCCTTGTAGCCAGACCTGGGTTATAATCTTTTGTTATATATTGACTCATTAATTTTTTATGGTGGTAAAATACAGGTAACATAATATTTACCATTTTACGTTTTTGAATACAATTCAGTGGCCTTAAGTACATCCACAAGGTATAGCCATCACCACCATCTAGTTCCTGAACTTTTTCATCATCCCCAAAGGAAATCCCATAACCATTAAGCAGTCTCTCCTGATTCTCTCCTCCCTCTGCCCACTGGCAACCACTAATATGCTTTCTGTCTCTACGGATTTGCCTATTCTGGAATTTTTTTTTTTTTAAGGTATTGCTTTTGTTGGTGAGGAACATTGGCCCTGAGCTAACATCTGTTGCCAATCTTCCTCTTTCTTTGTTTTTTTCTCCCCAAAGCCCCAGTACATAGTTGTATATTCTAGTTCTAAGTCATTCTAGTTCTTCTATGTGGGATGCTGCCACAGCATGGCTTGATGAGCAGCGTGTAGGTCCACGCCCAGGATCCAAACCAGTGAACCCTGGGCTGCTGAAGAAGAGCATGCAAACTTAACCACTATGCCACCAAGCTGGCCCCTGGATATTTTGTATAAATGGTATCATACAATATGTGACCTTTGTGACTGGCTTTCTTCTGCACAATGTTTTCAAGGTTCATCCATGTTGTGGCATATAACAGTATTTCATTCCTTTTTATGGCTCAATAATATTCCATTATATGGCTATATCACACTTTGTTTACCCATTCATTGATTGATGGATATTTGGGTTGTTTCCACCTTTTGGCTATTGTGAATAGAGCCACTTTGAACATTACTGTACAAGTTTTTGTTTGAACACCTGTTTTCAATTCTGCCAGGCCATATGGTAATTCTGTTTAATTTAATGAGAAATTGCCAAACTGTTTTCCACAGTAGCTGCACCATTTTACAATTCCATCAACAAAGTATGAGAGTTCCAATTTCTCCACATCCTTGTCAACACTTGCTATTTTCTGTTCTGTTTTTGTTTTTAATTATGGTCATGCTAGTGGGTATCTCACTGTGGTTTTGATTTGCATTTCCCTAATGACTGATGACGTTGAGCATCTTTTCATTTACTTGTTGGTGATTTCTACATCTTCTTTGGAGAAATATCTATTCAAGTCCTTTGCCCATTTTTTAATTGGGTTTTTTGTCTTTTTGTTGTTGAGTTGTAAGAGTTCTTTACATATTCTAGATACTAGACCCTGATCAGATATATGATTTGCAAATAATTTTTCCCTTTTTGTGGGTTGTTCATTCATTTTTTAAAAACAAATTTTATTTAATTTGTTGCTTACTATAAAAGCCACACTTATATTTCCTTGCTTGTGAATTATTTATGTAGGTCCTCTGCCATTTATTTCTTGGAGTTTTAGTGTTTTTCTTATTGAGATGCAGCCCTTTTGCTTTAGATTTTGCTCCCAGCATAGCATAGGGAGGTGGTGGTCAGGCTGAGCACAGCGATGAGTGGAGGAGGTGTTCTCAGCCTCCACTTACCCTAGCTCCTCAGCAAGCACTCCTCCTTATCCTCATGTAAATAACTCTTGCTTCGGTTGTGGCTGTGGCGGAAACAAGGAACACCTCTCTCCCTCCCCTCCCCCAAACACATACATACACACACATCCCGGGTCAGGGACCCTGACCATACAGCTGCTGTGAGTCCTGCGGTCAACACTGCAGTTCCTGCAGAGTCGCCCACGGGAGCCTGGTGACCCTTTTCTGTAGAGCTGTAAATGCTTTATGGCTCTCAATTTCACACAGGCATCTCGGGTGTCTAAATTCTTTTCCTTGTGACTTGATATCATTTGTCTGTTTGCGTCTCCTAAACTTTGCTCCTTAAACGTTCCATCCTCCATAAGCTATTTTTAGCTTGAAAAGTCGACCCCAGAGAACATGAACTCCATTTACCCATCACAATAATTTCTCTTTTCTTCATTTATGTGTCCCTGAAACACGTAATATTCATTCTTAACAAGTTGAAAAGTTGTGCCCATGTTAACACTTGGCTTCTCAATCTGATGGCTAACTTAGTAATAAGGACTCCACCATCCTGAACAGGAACACCCATCAGCATATACTTAATATGATCAGCTTTGGCAACAAAAATGTAAAAACAAGCATCATGCGTCATTCCACTAGGTTCAACTAAGAGTTTTGCTCTGCTAATGGAAACCTCTTCAGTCACTGACAGCCTACATAAGAGTTAGTTAAGCTCGATTCTAATCAAGGAAGAGTAAAGAAAGGATTTTGTAAATAAAAATTTAAAAGTCTCCTTTTCAAGGCAGCCAAAAACACACTTTTCTTCCCCATTCCATGTTCCCTGAACCCATCCATCAAAGGGCTGGATTGAAAGAAGTTAGTAAGATGACTGGTGAAGGATGAGGTTTAAGGAAAGTCCCGTATGATGTTCCTCCTTAGACGGCAGACTTCAAATTAAAAGTATACCTGCTTGCTTGGCGGTGGCAAATGGGGCCCTTTATCTTGGTTTTCATGAGTAGACACTGAAGCCATGATGACTCTGTCTTTGCTTCCCTTCTAGCGGAGTGCAGGCACTGTCTATGGAAAGTAGAAGAGGGTCACTAAGCCATAACTGACTGTTTACATCAACATTAAAACACTCTTAGTTAGGGGCTGGCCCCGTGGCCGAGCAGTTACGTTCGCGCGCTCCGCTGCAGGCGGCCCAGTGTTTCATTGGTTCGAATCCTGGGCGAATCCTGGGCGCGGACATGGCACTGCTCATCCGACCACGCTGAGGCGGCGTCCCACATGCCACAACTAGAAGAACCCACAACGAAGAATACACAACTATGTACCGGGGGGCTTTGGGGAGAAAAAGGAAAAAATAAAATTAAAACAAACAAACAAACAAACAAAAACACTCTTAGTTAGCAACTCACCTATTTGGGAAACTTATTTTCATTTGTCCTAGGTCTTAATCTGCAACCACCTGAAACCTCACTTTCTAATGCTCCTCTCCCCTAACACACACACACACTCACTAATGGTGACAGACCAGACTTAGAGGGGAGTGAAATGTCACACTGTACACAGCAAAATGTTTGACTACCTATAGATTATGTCCTTAAAAAAGTTTCAATGCATTAGAAGGTCATTAACTACACAAATATTTACTGAGTGTCTATTATGTGCCAGCCCAGGGGATAGAAAGAAGGATAAGACAACATCAGTGCTAAAGGCACTCATGGTCTAAAGAAGGCAGACAAGTCAGCAGTTATACAACATGCAAAGGGCTCCACTAGGGGTATGCACAGGGTGCTAAGGAAGGAGAGTGAGAAAGATCTATTCTGTCTGGCCAGGTCTGAAGATACCAAAGACTAAGACACCTGAGCTTTCAAGAGCTTTGCAGAGGGGCAGGCCGGGTGGCGCAGTGATTAAGTGCGCATGTTCCGCTTCCGCAGCCCAGGGCTCGCGGGTTCCAATCCCGAGTGGGGACATGGCACTGCTTGGCAAGCCATGCTGTGGTAGGCGTCCCACATATAAAGTAGAGGAGGATGGGCATGGATGTTAGCTCAGGGCCAGTCTGCCTCAGCAAAAAAGAGGAAGATTGGCAGATGTTAGCTTAGGGCTAATCTTCCTCCAAAAAAAAAAAAAAAAAAGCTTTGCAGAGGGTGGATGGACTCCAGGTCCAGGAGGACCAGGAGCAGATGCTGAAATAGGGCAGGCAAGGAAAGAGACCTGAGCCAAGACCCTGGTAGAAAGGATAGAGATGATTAATTTGGGTTTGGAAAGGTTGGATTTGGGTCTGGAATTACAGATTAGGAGTAGGCTGGAGAGATAATTTGGGAGTTGCTATCATAGAGATGACAAGTAGAGCAAGAAACATGAACAAAATAGTCTAAAAAGAGTATTGGAGAGAGCCAGCCCTGATGGCCTAGTGGTTAAAGTTTGGCATGCTCCACTTCAGAGGGCTGGGTTTGGTTCCTGGGAGCAGAACCACACCACTCGTCTGTCGGTAGCCATGCTGTGGTGGCAGCTCACACAGAACTAGAAGGACTTACAACTACAATACACAACTATGTACTGGGGCTTTGGGGAGAAAAAAAAAAGAGGTAAGATTGACAACAGATGTTAACTCAGGGTGACTCTTTCCCACATTAAAAAAAAAAGAGTACTGGACAATGTGAACATTGAGGCCAAGGAAATATCAACAAGAGAAGAACAAAACAAAACAAAACCCCGCCAAAGAAATGGCTGAGAAAGAATAGCTGATACAGAGGGGAGGGTGTTTCTCAAGGAGGGAATGAATCATCGGTGTTACGTGGCTCAGAAATGTGATTTGGCCATGATGGGCACAGTCCAGGTGGACTACGAGCCCTTGCCACAGGCCACTGCACGCAGCAGCCCTAGACTCCAGGACTGCCACTAATTTCCCTGCAAAGTGAACATCTTATCATACACAATTCTGTTCTTACTAAACTGCCTGTATACGAGCCAAGGGGACCCTTCCTTGTACCAAGTTTCACCCTAGCTGCCTAATGTTCTTGTAGAGGCAGCAGGATGCCCTACAGTGGAAAGTCGGCGAATCAGAAAGACCTGAGTTCAGATCCTGACTCTACTCCTTGCTAGCCCTGTGCTTTGGGGAAAGTGTCTTAAGGTGTCTGTGCCTCACCTTTCTTACCTGTTAAGTGGGGGTAATGGACATAACCTTGAGGGGCTGTTGCAAGGAGGAGAGAAGAGGAGGAGGGATGAGGAGGAGGGATGAGGAGAAGGGAAAAGGAGGAGGAGGGAAGAGGAGGAGGGATGAGGAGGAGAGAAGAGGAAGAGGAATGAGGAAGAGGAGGGAAGAGGAGGAGGGATGAGGAGGAAGGATGAGGAGCGGGGGGAGGAGGAGGGTTGAGGTCCACAAAGCCCCAGCTCAGCACTCAGCACACAGTGAGCGTGTGGGCAGTAAGGGGCGGCTGTCAGAGTGGCCCTGGGCACCCAATTTCTTGAGTACCTGGAGGAAAGCTTTCCTGACTTAAGGCCACATTAGATTATCTTTACTTAGTCAAGCGTTATGCCGTTGCCTCAAATCAGGAAGTAAAGACACCACATCTCAGCCTTCGTGATCAGGTCCCCTTGCATCCAATTAATCATCAGCCCTCACCTAATTAAGCCTTCTGAGGGTCTTGCCTTCTAGGTGCAGCTCCTACCACCATGCCCCAGTCTGGTCTGGGATCCCTCTGCTTCTTGGGGCAGGGGCGGTAAGGCTGAGAAGCGGTGGGCAGGAGATGCGCAGCAGGAGGCGCGCAGCAGGAGGCGGGGGCGCGTGGTGGGATGACAGCTGGAGGGGGTCACCGCACTTTCCGGTCGGCGGGAAAGCCCGGAATCAGCCTGCTGAAATCCACCGCCCCCAGCCTCCAGCGGCCGCCTGCACGACCTCAAGGCCCCCACCCTTGCCCGGGTCGCTGCCGGAGCCCAAGCCAGGTGGGGAGGGGGTGGAAGAGGCGGCTCTAGGCGCCCGCGGCCGACCCGCGCAGCCTGCGAAGGACCCTCGTCCCCGAGGTCCCAGGAAGTAAAGCGGGCAGAGGAGGCCACCCCTTCCTCGCCGTCCCTCCTGCTGACCCCAGCTGGGCCGGCTCACCTGCGCGGGTGAGGATCGCGTCGCACGCCACGTCCCCGGTGCTCGCTGAACCGAGCTCGCCTCCCTCCGCGGCGGCCGCTTCCTCCGGGACCGCTGCCCGCCGCCCCGTCCCCGCCTCCCGGCGCCACAGCCTCCCCGCCGCCCCGTCCCCGCCTCCCGGCGCCCGCGGGCCGAAGCGCCCTCTCCCTCCGCGCTTCCCCGGCGCTCACCTCTCTTCCCCGAGCTTCCCTCCTGCTTCCTACTTCCTCTTGCTCCGCCCTCGCTCGCTGCTCCTCGTCTACTCGCTGAAGTCTCTCAACAAGTGCGCCCCCATCCCCCACCCCGCAGTCCCTTTCTCTGTTGATGGCTTCGGCACCCACACCCCACCGCTCAGGATGAAACCCCGCCTTTGCTAGAACTCCCACCCCGCGCCCAAGCCTTGTCATGACACCTGGTGGATTCTCCCACCGTGATGTCTTTCAAATAACTCCTTCCCTCCCAACAATGACAGCAACAACCATTTATTGAACAGGCGTCGACACATTCCCTTGTCTGCAGTCCGGTTGTTTTGTTTTGTTTGGGGGGTATAACTGACATATAACATTGTATTAATTTCAGGTGTACAACATAATGATTCAATGTTTGTATACGTTGGGAGATGATCACTATAAGTCCAGTTAACATCCATCATTATACATGGTTACCAAAGAAAATTCTTTTTTCCTTGAGATGAGGACTTTCAGGCTCTGCTCTCTTAGCAGCTTCCGAGTATGCAGTACAGTATTGTTAACTATAGTCTTCATGCTGTACGTGACATCCTCATAGTTTGTCTTTTATGACTGAAAGTTTGTACCCTTTGACCCCCTTCACCCGTTTCGCCCCCACCCGTGCAATCTTTTTTACAGAGCTTTAGAGTGAGTGCTATTATCCTCATTTTGTAGATGAGGCAACTGAATTGTGCAAAGGCCACACTGGGAGTTTGGAGTCAAAGCCCATCAGCTTGGCTCCCAGGACTTCTCTTTCCATTGTTCTTTGTCCGTGGGCGCCTGCCTCCTGCCACTTCCAACCTCTGACATGGTGGGGGGGGGGGGGGGGGGGGGGGGAGATGCTGGGTGCCTTTACCACCTATGTCACTCACCCCAACCTCAGCTGAGGTTCTTCCCTGGGACATGCCACTGAACCTGAATGGAGTATGTTGAGTTGGAAGAGAGGTAGGCCCTCCCCATTTCTCTGCTGTCCTAATTGGGCTCTGTGCCTCTGGCCTCAGCCCCTCCACAAAGCTCATCCCCTCCCTTCCCCCTCCACTATCCACAGGGGCCTCCTTCCTGTACCTCATGTCCACCCAGCTCCTTCCACCTGAGCCCTCTATGAAGGCTCCTCCTACCTGAAGCCCCCTCCCCATCCATCTTGTCCTGGCTTCTTCCTACTCATCCTTCTCTGACTCTTCCTCGAAAAGGCTTGCCTTGACCCCCACCCAGCCTAAAGTAGGTCTCTTTTCTTCTCTTTCATAGCAAGCCGCCCTGTTTTCTTTCGTTGTGTTTCTCACCAGTTGTTATTACAGTCCTCCCTCCGTATCCGGGGGTTGTGCGTCTGGGGATTCAATCCACTGCAGATGGAAAGGCACACAATGGTTGCTGAACATGTACAGACTTTTTTTCTTGTCGTTATTCCCTAAACAATACAGTATAACGACTATTTACATACCATTTACATTTTATTAGGTATTGTAAGTAACCTAGAGATGATTTAAAGTATACAAGGAAGATTTGCATAGGTTATATGCAAATACTACGCCATTTATATAAGGTACTTGAGCTTCGGTGGGTTTTGGTATCGGTAGGGGTCCTGGAACCAATCCCCTGTGGATACCAAGGGACGACTGTGTAAACTTATTAGTGTGTTTATTAGTTTCAAGCCTGTTTCCCCTGTTTTAGTGTAATCTTCATGAGGTACAGAACAAGATGGTGTCTAATTTGTTCACTGTTGTATACTTAGCATCTCAGATACATAAGGGGCTCAATCAATGTCTGTTGAAGGAAGGAACAAAGGAATGAATGAATAAATGAGGCTTGGGTTCAAAGACTGTCGAGACACTGTTGTTATGGAGGGTCCATGTTCCCCAGCTTGTCCCCCAGACCACATTCTTTCATGAGATTCACTGGTTTCTTTTCTTCCCCCTCTGCTTCCTCCAAATGAAAGGGGGTATAATTCTACTGCTAATTGTACATTGTGCTACCGGAAGTCAGAAATAACCCTCAGCCATTTTGGGGTCTGAAAGGAACAGCTTTCCAGTCGGCTCTGTGACAGAAATGAAAAGTACCTCCCTTACACCAAGGTCTGACTTCCAACAAATACCTCAAGGGTATTCGTCCTTTGACATCTCGCTACAATAAAGTCCGTGCCCGACCCTCAATTCTACTTTCCACTAGAATGTTCCTGTTAATTGCTTAAATAACTAGAAGTTACCATATATAATGTGCATGGATTATATGAATTCATCACTTGGTATTAGCTGGACAAATCTCATATGCCCACATGTTGTTCTAGGCACTTTCAAGATAAAAGAGAAAAGACCTGGGTCCTTCCCACAAAGGATTTATCAATTCCCAAAGAATCAGAATCAAATAAAATATATTTGGCTCTAGAAGTGTATACCACTGAACAGAGCTTTTCTTAGGTTTTGCTTTAGCATCCTACAGGACCTCAGGATCACAACCACGAAGTTGATTACCACCGGCCATGGTAATGCTGTGAAAAATGTGGCTGATTTAGAAAGTGCCAAAATGTTCCTGGCAGGCTTCAGCTTGAACTATTTCTGTAGCCCTGCAGGGTCCTCAGGCAAGATTCAAATTCATTAGCAGGGCCCTGCATGATTCAGCACCTGCCTGCCTGTCCAGCACATCTATCTAGCCCCTCAGGGGCCTGTGGAGTGACTGATGGTCTCCCTCCTCATGCGTTTGCATGTGCTGGAGCGTCAGTCTTCCTCCGCTTCTCCACCCCCTCTCTTTTTTTTTTTAAAGATTGGCACCTGAGCTAACATCTGTTGCCAATCTTTTTCTCCCCCAAAAGTCCCTCAGTACATAGTTGTATATTCTAGTTGTAGGTCCTTCTGGCTCTGCTGTGTGGGACGCTGCCTCAGCATGGCTTGATGAGTGGTGCCATGTCTGTGCCCAGGATCCAAACCAGCATTACCCTAGGCCACTGAAGCAGAGCACACGAACTTAACCACTTGGCCACAGGGCTGGCCCCTCTCTCATTCATTCTTAAAGACTGGGCCCAGGGGTCACTTCCTCTTGGCAGCCCTGCCAGACTCAAGTTTACTTTTCCACCTTCTGTGCTCCTATCACACTCTCCAGTGGGTACCTGTTATGCATATGTGTGTGTACATATATATGTATCTATTATGCATATGTATGTATGTGAGTTTAACATTCAAAGCTAACATCTATTAAACACTATGTATCAGGCACTCTTCTGGTCTCTCTTCACCTTTGAACTCCATCCTCACAGCAACCCTTTGAGGGAGCTGCTAGTAACTTACTGGGTCACATAGCCAGGAAGTGACAGAATCAGAATTTGAACCCAGGCTCCAGAGCCATGCGCTTCAGAGCAATGCCATCCTGCTGTCCCTCAGCTGCTATCACACTGTGTTACAATTGTTGTCATTCTTTGTCACTCTCTCTTGACTGTCAGCTCTTTGAGGGCAGGGACTGGTCTTGTTCAGCAACTGAAACATTGTATGAACTCAGGAATGACTAAATGAGTTAATGAGGCACAGAATGAAAAATAAATAATGCATGATCCTTTATTTCAAGGGGCTCACAGTCTCTTTTCCTCCTTTCTTTCCACCCTCCCTCCTTCTTCCATTCCTTCCTTTGCAAAATAATTGCAGGGCCTTTTAAACAACCTGAGAAACTGGTAGTGTTATTCCACTTTACGTGCAAGAAAAATGAGGCTTAGAGAAGTTAAGTTATATGGCCAAGGTCATACTGGGGAATGACCTTGGGAGACAAACAGCTTTCTAATTGGCTTTGTGATGAAAATGAATAGCCCTCCGTTATACTAAAGTCTGACTTCCAACAAATACCCTAAGTGGCATTTGTCCTTTAATAGCTTGCTACAGCCAGACACAGCCAGGATTCAGACCTCAGAGGCCTGGCTCAGGACTTGTGCTCTAAACCTCCACAACATATATGTCCCCAATAGCCTCATTGGGCGGAAGAGACACATAAACTGATACAAAACAAGAGACAGGTACAGAAGCCTGAGCAGCAGGGGAGGGAGAGGGACCCTGACAAGCTGTTTGGGGGAGGCAGGAGAGAGGACCATGCCATGTGGCTGGCTGAAGAGTAGGCTCTCGGGGCTGGGGGGGGGGGGGGGGGGAAAAGGTGGGGGATGGATTAAGAACAAATGCAGGTGGGAGTCTAGATCAGCACCACAGGGAGCTCGAGGCTCATTCACAACCATCTCACCTCTGCCAAGTAAAAGGGGCTCACTGGTTTCCTGGTGGGGAGGTGGGTGTGTGTGTATGTGTGTAGGGGTGCATCTTGGATGATCTCAGAGAAGCCAGCACAGCCCTTACCCGCCTGCCATCCCTTTTCTTGTCCCAGCACTTCGCTTACCATCTGCCCAGCTCTGTGAGAGGCTCTGTGAATCGCAAGATCTCGTGAGTCACTCATTCCCTCTCTGAGGAATAAATAACGTCAAGTCTCACAAAGGCAGAGCAGTCGGTTGAAATGAGGCGTCACACAAAGATGGAGCCTGGGGTCTGCTTTCTGTTATGAACTGGCACTGCTGTCAGGAGAGGCGTGTTGCCAGGCTCTCAGCTTGAGCTTTTGGGCCATCGACCCAGGGCTCTGGCTGCTTCGGGTTCATCTGGATTTGATGTTCAGACTGCCAGACTCAGCAAGAGGCAAAGCCATCCCCAGAGATCATGATTTTGGCCTAACTAGGGAACATCTGAAATGTGAAGATGAGTACGCATCAATTTGGTTGTGTCTCCAGTCTTCCCTGAGACAGGCCTATCCTTTATTTCACTCATGAATGCTGATGATAGCCATCCCCACAGTAAATTTAGTACTTAGAACATTCCAACACTGCTTTCCACAGTCTATGACATGTAAAGTCCTTTGAATGCACAAAACAGAATTCTCCTGGTGTAGCAGAGAGAACATGTGGTCAACTGGAGGCCAGTAATATCTTGTGGCAGATTTTTTGACCTCATTCCAAGAGTGTGTTGTCGTCTTCATGTCCTGGTGTCTGTCCCGAGCCTCTCTCTGGAGCAGCCTCCCAACCTGGCTAGAGTCAGGGTAGGAGAAAAGCAATTTGATTTTCTGGTGAAAAATACTCACAACAGGGTGTAAACCCTTGCACAGATTTACTCCTTGCAGGGCATAATTCCATTTTAGAAGACAGGCTTGTGAATCAAAATCTAATTGATAGAAGGTTGGGCAGGACTTTATTTTTTAAAATAGACATTATTTTTTAGAGCAATTTTAGATTCACAGCAAAATTGAGTGGAAGGTATAGAGATTTCCCATATCCCCCCTTCTCCCCATTCATGCATAGCCTCCCCTATTATCAGCATCCCTCACCAGAATGGTACATTTATTACAGGATGTTACCATTGATGAACCTACATTGGCAGAGCATCATCACCGAGTCCAATACAGTTCACTCTTGATGTTGTACACTCTGTGGGTTTGGACAAAAGTATAATGACGTATACCCACCATTATAATATCATACAGAGCATTTTCACTGCCCTCAAAATCCTCTGTGCCCTATCTAGTCGTCCCTCTCTCCTCCTGGCAACCACTGATCTTTTTTATTGTCTCCATAGTTTTACCTCTTCCAGAATGTCATATAGTTGGAATCATACAGTATAAAGTCTTTTCAGATTGGCTTCTTTCACTTAGTAATATGCATTTAAGGTCCCTCTATGTCTTTTCCTGGCTTGATAGCTCATCTCTTTTCAGCAGTGAATAATATCCCATAGTCTAGGTGTACCGCAGTATCTACCTATTCACCTACTGAAGGACATCTTTTTTTTTTTTTTTGAGGAAGATTAGCCCTGAGCTAACTGCTGCCAATCCTCCTCTTTTTTGCTGAGGAAGACTGGCCCTGAGCTAACATCCATGCCCATCTTCCTCTACTTTTATATGTGGGACACCTACCACAGCATGGCTTGCCAAGCGGTGTCATGTCCGCACCTGGGATCCGAACCAGCGAACCCCGGCCACTGAAGCAGAACGTGTGCACATAACCACTGTGCCACCAGGCCGGCGCCAACTTCAGAACATCTTGATTGCTTCCGAGTTCTGGAAATTATGAATAAAACTGTTAATAAACATCTGTCTGCAGGTTTTTATGTGAATATGAAGTTTCAACTCTTTTGGGTAAGTACCAAGGAGCATGATTGCCGGAGCATATGGTAAGGGAATGTTTAGTTTGTAAGAAACCGCCAAACTGTCTTCCAAAGTGCTCGTAGCACGTTGCATTCCCACCAGCAATGGGTGAGAGTTCCTGTTGCTCTACATCCTCCACAGCATCTGGTGTTGTCAGTGCAGATTCCCTTTTGAGGGGGATTTTCTGAAATCCCTTCCTTACCCGAGTAGCCCTCCTCACCAGATTGGCCTCTGTTAGCCTTAGCGAGAAGAGCATCAGTATCCTTGCTGGTCTACTTCTGGAGGGTTGCTGGGACCTTAGCCCTTACTGTTTCAGATAGTTCAACTCCAACTTCCCTCTTCATGGCACCTCCCAGGGCTCTTTCACACTGTTCCACCCTACCCAACCCTCACACACCTACACTGTGCCACGGCAAGCTTGTAGTTATTTTTCAGTTCTCATTGAAGATATCCATAGAGCCTAGGAATTCAGGTCCTGGACTCTGGAGCTGGATTGCCTGGGTTCTAATTATAAGCCCACTGTCTATGTATATCTATATAAATAATTTCTTGGAGCAGTGCCTGGTACATAGGTAGGGAGTGGTATTTAAGAGTTCATAATCACTTCCTCCAGAAAAACCCCTCCCAGCCCCTGGTGCAGGGATTCCTCCTGTGTGCTATATTTTAATGACCTCTTTATTTGATCTCTATTCTAAGATGTGAGATCTCTGAAGGCAGGGACTGTCTTTCTCACCTTCATATCTGTGGTTAGAAAACCACCTCCAGATATTAATTTATATGTTGTGCTCATTCAGCAGCCTGAACAAATAATAGATATTTTCCCTTTCCCATTCCAAGATAGTCGCTGTGGGTGTCCTTACCTCCAGATTCTCTTTTTTGCTGAGGAATATTGGCCCTGAGCTAACATCTGTGCCAGTCTTCCTCTATTTTGTGTGTGGGTTGCCACCACAGCGTGAATGACAAGTGGTGTAGGTCCACGCCTGGGAACTGAACCCAGGCTGCCAAAGCAGAGGGTGCTGAACTTAAGTACTATGCCATGGGGCCAGCCTCCAGATTCTTAATGACTTTTGTATTATAGGGATAAGAAAAGGGTCTATAAATAAAGCATGAAACAGGCATCCAGAATATTATCCCTGTGTAGCATTTTATTGTAGAAAGAGAGGAAGTAGACCCATCCTAGAGGGAAGATTTTGAGCTTTTCCAGAAACTAGGAAGGGAGCAGAGGTGTGCAGGTTTGTAGAGTAGTGGAGACCAGCACTTCACTCCCTCCTATAGCTCTGGTCTGTGGAAGGGCCTCATGGCAAAAAAAGCTGCAAGGTGTCCTGAGCAAGGAGGCTCACTAAGCATATGGCTTCCCAGCCTTCAAAAGATCTGGGGCTGGGGCCACTGCTTTCAACGGACCATGTGGATTTTGACATTGAATAGAGGCCAGAGGGGATCAGAGGGCCTTCTAAAATGGCCTGGACAGTGCCAGATCCCCAGATGCCCCCTTCTGACCCTACAGAGATGGGTTACCTCCCCACCTTGCCCCCACCAAATTCATGAGATTGAATTTCTTGAGTGGATAGAGGCTCTGAACAAATGTACCTTTATTTGGGACACAAAGGAATGCGGCTTATTTTTAACTCTAGTGAAGTGAGCTAAAATTCATACCCGTAATATGTCCATGGTCCTGGCAAAAGTGGGCACATAGACTATTTGGTGAGTAGATAAAAGCCGGAAGTACCTTGAAATGTATCCAGACTGTTTTAATGATACCATAGAAACGGTTTTTGCTTACTGACCTTGAATAAAGGTTTTCCAGGGCTATTTCCTGAATATTTAAAGCACACTCAAATGAATTGTCTTTGAACAAAGATTCAAAAGACTTTCGTGACTGCGAAATAGCAACAAGTTGAACTTATAACTCATCAGTCTTAAACATTGTTGGTTGCCTAAGCAACTAAGCCTGGCAGCTTTACACTTTGAAAAGACTGGAGTCTCCCATCAGAACTTGTCTCAAAGCCCCACCTAATCCGACAAAGCCTGGTAGACACAAAAAACAAAGTCCTACTTTGCATATTGGTATCCTTTTCACAAAGCTGCCTTGTACCTAACAATCCTAGTCCTTGCTCACAACGAAAGTTGTTTAAGCTGTTGTTTTTTTCTACTCTCGATCACTTGTGGTCGTTCTTCCAGGAATTGCTCAAATGAATTAAATCTAGAGATAATCCTAAAATGTTTCTTCAGTCATTGGTTTCTGCTCAGTCCCCTCTTCAATCTTCAGAGGTTCTTTCTAGGCTGCTATAATGGCCTGTAGACCTGATTTATTTTCTTGCCCTTCTAAGTATCAGAAGAGCATCCAAAAAGCAGATAATAAATGGAAAGGTAGGAACAAGCTAAACACCATGACAGAACATTCAGGCAAATCTTGAAGGTGAGGCAGTTGGACCAATTTCACTGGACAGCTGTCCTGGACTCTCAGTAAATTGGTGCCATAAGAACAGAGGGTGTTAGAAAAAAATTGAAGGACCCCAGAGAGCCCTGACTAATACACGATGTGAGATAACTTTGTAAATGTATCCCGCCAAGCAAATCTGACACATGATGATTCAGGACCACCGTTTATCTTTGTCATTAACAAAATAGAAAGAGGGTAAATAGGACTTTGTAACTATGTTTTAGGTTTTCAGTCAGATAAATACCGTACTTCAATCAATATTCCAAATGGCTTTATTTTTTCAATGTTTCATGCCAATTTTGGATCTTTAGTACAGCTTAATAACTTTTTTTTTTGGTGAGGAAGATCAGCCCTGAGCTAACATCTGTTGCCAATCTTCCTCTTTTTGCTTGAGGAATATTGTCCCTGAACTAACATCTGTGGCAGTCTTCCTCTATTTTGTAGGTGGGACACCACCACAGCATGGCTTGATGAGTGATGTGTATGTCCGTGCCCGGGATCTGAACCCACGAATGCCTGGCCGCTGAAGCCAAGCACACAAACTTAACTACTACACCACTGGGCCAGCCCCATAACTTTTTTTTTAACTCCTTTTTTTGCTCCAATATAAACACAGAGAGCTTTTGAGAAGCTGTAAGGGCTTTATGACATGTTACAACAGCACATTTATCTTTGATTCTAGAGTAAGCTGGAAACTTCAGGATTAAATGAGTGTGTACCATAGAAAGTCCTAAATGCTTAGGTTCAAGTTTACAGTCATGAAAAATTATGAAAATCATTCATCTTGTAAGGCCTGCACTACCAAACTAACAGCCTCAGAAGTGAGAACATTAACTGCTATGATGTTCCAACATCAAAATTTCACAAAAGCAAAACATTGTTTAAAATATACGTATAAGCAATTTAAATCCCCTGACACTGAATGACAAGAATTGTGCCGCAGGGCTTCCCATGAGACGTCTCGGGACTTCTCACAGTGAACCAGGGTTCTTTCATGCCTCTTTCCCTCGAGGGAACTGACACCCTGACAGGTTGAATGACGGGCCCAAGACCGTATGGCAGCTGCGATAAAGGCAGGATTGAAATTCAGAGTCGATGACTCATTCTCCATTCAACCAGCGTTTACTGAGCACTTACTAGGTGTCAGGCTCAGTTCTCGGTTCTGGGGACACTGAAATGAATAAAACATCAGAATCTGTGCTGTGGGTCTCAGGAACACAGCGGAGTTTAACAGGTAGAATTGATAACTATGCTCCATCGCTAGGCAGCATTCCAGCTGTCCATGGGGAAGTTTTGCCCTATAAGTTGGTTTGTTTTTCCTGAAGGAAAAAGGCCCCCAGACTCATCCTAAGTCTCTGAAGAGTGGAAGTCAGGATTACAGCTGAACTCTTTCAGAAAAAAAAAAAAATGTCTTGAAGTAGTTACTTTCTTTAAAAAACAAACGAATAAACAACCAGCCAACACACACACACACAGACAAGTTCCTCTATAGCTTTTCAAAGCATCCTCCACTCTAGGCAAACTAAATAAATATAGAACAATACTTTTACAATTCAAGATTCCCAGGCCAGTGGACTATTCTTCCCTGTTGTAGATATCCAGTTGGGACAATTTCCATACATTTCACTAAAAAGGACATCACAGTGCATTTCTGTAGTACTGTGGCCTGAATTCGCTGGGAGGGCCTGTAGTTCCTCAGGTAAGGCTTTCACTCCCTTAGCAACCAAACTGCTCTGGTGCTGCAATGTACGACACTTCTGCAATGGCCTGACCTACTTGGGGAGCCCGAAGCAAGCCCACCTTGGTGTCTGAACACCATAGCCCTACACACATCCAACGCACAATTCATGGCTCGGGGTTGCTGCTTGTTATGTTATATGGGCAAATAGCCTCAGTAAGCAATTTAAAAAGTCAAGATTTCCCTGTAGACAGTTACCTAAACTTTCTATACTTTAAAGTATAGCACTAGCTTTTCATGCCGAAAAGCACTGGGATAAGAAAATAAATTGGATGGCTATCTAGAATTGAAAAACCACTACTATTATACTATATACGTTTATAATGAAGAGCAAAGTCTTTATTTCTATTTTCAAACATGATGATTTATGATCTTTATATTTGAGTCCTATTTTACAGCCTTAATACACACATATTACATTATAGGAAGTGAAAGAATCTTGAAATAAGATTTCCCCCTCCTCTGGGTTTCTGAAGCTAGCACTCATTTCTTTTTCCATTCATTGAGAAAAAATTCATATGATTCATGGTAATGTAGGATTTTTTTTTAACAATGCCTAGGAGGTTTGAGCTGTGCATAAATAATTTAAAACAGACATCATTAGGATACTGGAGTTTATATTCACGT